GTTTAGCTCATATAATCTGGAAATAGTAAATTGCTAGGATTTTATATTCTTGTCGTACCCCTAGGACTAAGTTGTTCATAACTAGTCCTGTTTATTTCGATATAATGTTAGGTCTTGTTTAGGTTTTATGTCTGTCTTTGAATTTTGACTTTTAAAGTGATTTTATTCATTTTTAGTTTAGTCGAACTGATGATGGAGCTGGACTCCGAAACGTTTTCAAAATCGATATGGTGAATTTTCTTGGCGTTTTCTTTGCTGTTAAATTCCTTGTGAACTTGCGATATAAGCAGACTAATGATATAAGTACTTATATGAGAACAAAACTCTGACAACCTCAACCTGTGCTATCTCAGATGCAACTGAAGTTATCGTAAATATACCACCGTCGCAACAGGAGAATAGCATGATTAGCATCGATATTGGTCGATGGTCGTCGCCGTACACGTAACACAGTGGTGAGTGGTGACCCACCGGGTCACTTTGCAGGAAACGTGTTAAACGTTTAAAAATTTGGTAGAGGGTTTATTGCAGCTTCCAATAACCCCCCTACCAATTTGTAGCCAAGCGGCCCAAGCCCCGCCGTTCGGAAATCGGAACAACAGTAAACGCCCCGAAAGGCGGAACGTCACAAATCGAGCCGAAAGCCTAGGTAAAAATCCTCCCCGCGCTTACCTAATCACTTTCCGGCGGTAATTGAAATTTGGATTTGGGGCGTGGTAACTCTGGGAACAAATACATTTCAGGGTCAGGCCTTTGCAACGGTCATCAGCGACGCATCGCATATTCATTTGTTAGTAGGAAGGAAAAAGGGAGAGCAAGTCAGGTGTAAGCAACATTAAATAAGAAGAGGCTAGACGTGGTTAGTTCAACCTAGGAAGCTAGAGGGGTGTGAAAGTTTGTGTTAAGGGTGAGATGAAAACAAGAGGAAATTCGTTTGGTTTATTATTGCTATATCCCAATTATTGCACTGTATAGTTTACATTTATATTAGCTATGGGGCCTCTTAGGCCATGAATGATTATTTATGTTATATAAAATTATTATGGTTTGGTTATTCTAATTTTATTACAGCTTTTTTATTGCACCCTTCCCGCCACGGGACGCCTGTCGGAGACCACCACTGCCGTGCTTCGAATGGACTATCATGATCTCTTCCCTGAAGAACGTAGCCTACAACACATCTTGACCGTACGTTATCAGCCGCACGCCACCAGACAGATCACATCCATTGAATTAGATCAATCAGCCCACAGGAAAATAAGCCTGGAGTCGTATGGCCCAGCGTCGTCTGCCAACACGCAAAAAAAATTTACACCACCCGGACAGAGCGCGCCGGAGCCGTCCGTATCTGTCCCGTGTGTCGAATCAGCCCACGGTCGAACGGCCACGCGCCGTACGACGATAAATTTTGGAACAGAACTATGCTATCTGGAACCTAACCCCAGATGCTGTGAGCTAAAAGTTACGTAATTTAGCGAAGCTGCGGAAGTCGCTCGTCGAAGGACGATAGATTTTGGAACAGAACTATGCTTTCTGAACCTAACCCCGGATGTTGTGAGCTAAAAGTGACGGTCTGGTGGTGCACGGCAGGATGCATGGGGAGCGCAACCGTGCACCACCAATTTTGTGCACCAATAAGCCCTGAATCGAACGCCTTGGATCTCTCCGGACCTACACCAATCAGCCGTGCACCACTTGGCTTTGTCCTCTTCCGGCCTTGACCACCACCTGCCGTGCACCACCAGGCCGCGGATCGAATCTGACTTCCGGGCATCGTTAAATTACGTAATTTTACGTTCACCGCATCTGAGGTTAGGTTTCAGATAGCATAGTTCTGTTCCAAAATTTATCGTCCTTCGACTAGTGACCGTTCGACCGAGGGCTGGTTCGACCCACGGCCTAGATACGGACGGCCTGAAGTGTTGAAGGCTACGTTCCTGAAGGCAGGAATCATGATGGTCCATTACATCCAGGGCAGTGGTGGTCTTTGGCAGGCGACCCGATGCATGCAGTTTCACTGGCGACCTGGGCTGGTTGGTCGCAGTCCGTTGTCCGCAAGTTACAGTTCGAGCTAAAGTCAGGGTATGAAGTGATGATTCGACGCAACGTTCAGTGGTGCATAACCATTACTCTCTGGGCTATTCGCTTCAGAATGTGGTGGCGTAAAGCTCCTAATATTTAAAGCAAGATGATGTCACGGGCTGGTTACCGACGGATGGCTTAATCCGCGGCTGATTGGTGGTCATCCGTAAATGTGCTAGGCGTTCCTTTCAAGGCTGATTGGTGCACAAATTTAGTGGTGCACGGCTGCGTACCCCCCGCCACCACTCATGCCAACCTCCTCCTCTCCCTCACCCTCCATGCACTCTTCAAAAATCGCTTCCCACTCTCAGTCAAAGCAGCAGCCACCCCCCTTGATAGGCCTAATATCATTGCAATCTATTCGTCTCCTGTTCGCTGATACCTCACATCATCACCCTCATCCCTCTCATCCAGTATCACTCTCATCATTTCCAGTCTCTCCCGCTCATATGCATCACACTATATCATCAGGTGCTCCACATTCTCCCTCTCACCTCTGTCACACATAAAACAAATATCCTCTCTTCTTTCATCCCACCTGTATGTTTGTGCATTCACACTGAAAACATTTGCTCTCACACAGAATATTTGGTCTCCACCTCTACTTCCGTCATATATATACTCATACCATGGCATCTCTTTCATAACATAACATAGTGTTCTCGACGCTGAAGTGTAGGCCTGATGTCGCCTGTCGCCGATTCTTTTCCTTTTCGTGCCTTGTTCACAGATCTAAAATTGTGTCATTTGACCGGGTCTTTTCATGACTGACGACAGTTTGAAATCAAATAGCTACTTGACTTCCACCGGGTTCGATATGGTGCTAGGCATTTCAAATCTGAACATATATTTTTCCATAGCTTTATCTATCTGTTCTTGAACGCGTTCATACTTGGAGCGCCAACCATGTCATCGGGGTGGCTGTTCCACATGTCGGCGATTCGAAGCGAGAAGAAATGTTGGCGCGTAGAGAAGTTGCAGCGCAGTTTTTTTAGTTAATAGCCGTGGCCCCTGGTGTTGGTTCTTGTTTCAAATTCTAGTAATCCTTCGGGGACCTTGTACAAACCATGAGTAAACTATTATACTTCAATGAGGTCCACACATCATAGCAGGTAGTACATCTTTCATCTGGTACAATCTCAGGCTGTCCATTCTTTCCATTCCTTGCTTCCAATCTCTTAAACCACACAATTTCACTCTCTCATCTATTTCTTTCTTCCATTCTTTGACATCCCATTCGATCCGTTACACCCTGTGACTGTTTTCATCCATACCTCTCTTGGTCTTTCATCTCCCACGTTTCGTGTAACTCACTCTTTTGTGCTATTGCACGACACTTACCCATTTGCTCACTCTTAAGTTCCACAGGTACGTCTTACCCGTGCCCAACGTACATCATCCATTCTTTCCAGTCGTTCTTTATATCTCAATGCTCTCTAAACGTACTCCATCCCATATCTCCTCTTAAAAGTTAAAGCCCCCACTGCAGTCCATCTGGCACCTCCAAGAGCCAGTCTAGCTTTCCTATTCTGTATAACCTCCAATTGATTCCATTCACCATCATTCCATGCAATAGCGTCCATTCCATACATAATCCCAATTCCCAGATACCGCCACACTTTTCCATACTTCTCGTAGAACGTTATATTTATTTGCTCTCACTCTTGCTGCACTGCCCAGTATTCCTAACCACTTATTTTCTTTACCAGGACTCAACGCTTTAGTTCTCTCACATCTTTTTTGGTCAAGTCATTCCCAAGTACCTGAAAGGCGAGATCTCCGTTCAAGTAATATGTATTAGACATTATTATAACTTAGCAAGTTGGCCAATTTTTTTTTTTTTGCATAACCAAGATTACAGCTGCAATTGAGATTGTAGTTTCGCGCCTACCTTCCTAGCGGCGTAGTTGCTAAATTAGTTCGGTGGCTAGCCGATCAGGACGGGCTAGCCGATTATCACATAATTTAGTCTTCTGCTGTTAAGTGAAATGCGAGAATGACGTGATAACTTCTCTATTGGCCCACAGTACCCCACACTCCAGTTACCATTTCATATAAGTCGACGCGCCCGCTCAATTTTGACACCAAGTGATGGTTAGCAGAATGGCTATTGCATTGTTCAACATTGTTACGTAGACGGGAGAGATTGTCGTATTAATTCCCGTCTTAAAAGTTGGATAAAAGCACTGCACTACCGCACAACAGGTTTTTTCTACATCTGCCTTTGCTACGTCGCTCAGTTCAACTAGTGCAGAATTCCAAAAAATACCCCCCACCCTCATGCAACGTCTTTTCTTCAAAAAAAGCCAGTTATGCAATATTTGACGCAGAGAGAACGTCCGCCGAGTGAAAATATAAAATACAATGCAAGTACAGAAACCTGCCAATTAACTTCATGAAACTAAATGGCTCAAGGTTAAAAAATGGAGGTTGCATACTCGCATCGGGCGATGTCGATTGTACGAGTACTGTATCCACCCTAGCACATTTTCCCAGAATGTACATTGTGTCGCTCCCATCGCATGCCTGATGGACAGTGGCAAGATTAATTGGTCGCAAAGGCTGAGTCTACCTTTTGCGACTTGATGGACGAGTTCAAATTAACAAAATTTGAGAGCTGCAATAAGATCTTGTTTCACAAGACATCCATGAACGTTTTATCCAACGTCTGATGGCCACTCTGACGCTGGTCATTTCAGTGCGTCAGACAATCTGCCATCATCAAGAGACATTGTGTTGCGAGTGGGGCTCTACGAATGAACGTTCTTAACCAGAAAATCTTTCCTAAAAAGTTGCTCATAGCACGTTGTGATATTCGTTTTCCAACAGGCCATCTCTAGTTCAATGGACTTCTAAAGCTCAAACTACCGTGTGTACAAAAAAAAAAACTATATATACAAGGGTAAATTAGAACGAGATACCAATGTATAATTTATTATAACGAAGTTCATACCAAACCAGTCATCCTGATTCGTTACCTAGAGGCTTGAACGCCTAATGCCGCATCTATCACTATTCATTAGCTGCAACTTAAGCAATGCTCAGACACTTTTTCCTTCTCCAGAAGCTGAACGAGGACGCACAAGGCTACACGATACGTGCAACAGTCTAAAATGCAATGTTTAATCATGAAAATTAAGGGATTCAGATGAGAGAAATATAAGCGCAGGGATGTCCTTAACTAGCTTAAAACAAGTCTACGGTCATTTCCTATAATTGCAAATTCAAACTACTCGACAAAAATCATGATATTCACATAGAAGATATAATACAAATTTTTTGAAACCCCCCAGTTTGAGGAAGCGAGATACCGGTTAACACAGCTGAATCAAACCACATAATCTTCAGAATTTTGGCAACAATTCAAATGGCAAAGATTGAAGAAAATGCACTCAAGCGAAGTTACTCCGTTTACCGTATCTGAAGTTGATGCATCAAGCTAGTAGTAATCCGAAAGCTACGACGAATCAGAGCAATGTCTAACCTTAAGCAGGAATGATATGACAAAAAGCCTGTTCCTTCCAATGAGATCCCACTAAATTTTCACAATCAAGTTCTGGGCTATAAATCTACAGTATTGAATATTTAACAAGATTTTTGCTCCTCCTACCATTACTAGCATATCATTAAAATAAGTTCTCGTATCAGATTAAAATGGTTAAGAATTAAGGCAGGTCTTAAGCTCGAGTTAGAGGGCCACCCCACCTCATTTCGGAGTATCAAGGCCGACAGTCATCCATTACACAAAAGAGCTTAGATGCAACAGATCTGCTGATTGATTTAGAGATATAAATAATTGGAATATCCTTTATCATTAACAAATGCTAATACTTCACTTTATAGGCTTAATGAGAGGTTAAAATACGAGGAACCCTGATCGATGAAGTAATCAAGAGCTTTGAAGCAGCGAGTCCTGACATCACAGCGTTGGCTTCCGCAAGTCGGGAGTGTACCCTATTCTACTCCTTGGGAGATTCCGTGGTTGTTTCCTCCTGCAAGAAATATTTCGAATATACAGATATTATAGAGGAAAGAGAAAGCACGGGCAAATTCAAGTTCGTGCAAAAACTTGACATACCACAATCACCTGGGAGTGGGAGTGGCATGAAGCGATTAGTACTTTTAGCGCAACACTATAAGCGTGATAGTATTACTTCTTGTACCAATAGTCATGTTCGAAACGGGGGCAAATTTACAAGCAACCATTTATAGCTTTGGGACCCTACCTCACTACTTGCTAAATATCGCATTTGACCAAGCTATCTTCTACCTCCTTGCATCAATACCAAGTTGAAGTAACAGGCAGGTGGAATTTCTGTACATTTTTGAAAAGAAAATCAACTATAACTTCAACGATTGTTATAGCAAGTTTATTGGCAAAATTATGCAAGATAATTACGCAAGATAAAATGAACGTTGAGAATTTTACTGGAAACTTTGCACTTCTAAATGACAGAACCTCAACCCAATCATTAGATACGTTCCAGAGAACTGATGTCTTCAGACAGGATTATCTACAGAGCCTCTTGGCAGCTCGGAATCAAAGGAAAGCACTCACAGACTTCTCTTCTGACTTAGCAGCTTCCTCCGACTTTGTTTCCGGAAGAGATGTGGCGACCTCTTCAACTGCAGCTTCCTTGACAGAATCAGACGCAGACTCTGCTTCGGCAGAAACCTGAAAGATTAGGATTGGCAACCTTCAAAAATAAATTGTCAGTGGAAAAAAAATGACTGGAAACGACTGAGGTGAGAGTTCGAATCTTCATAAGAAGATAGTCGCAAATTCATAGTAGATTATAGACACTTGAGAGTGGAGATACATGTCTATTCAAAGAGAAGCGGCTACCTGAAGACTGTTCAAGAATTAAGGGTGAATCGCAGGCAAGCAGAAAAAATGCTGAATAATTTTACAAGCAATTCGCCATTCCGTCCACAATATTCATCCAATATTTCCTGTCGTGAAGAAACTACCGCTAACGTTTCACTCGGCACGGCACTCCCAAGATTTTCATCATGAGAATCATTGTCTCACCTCAGGAACGGACACGGAAGACAGCTCAGGTGCAGGAGCCTCAACGGACGCAGGTTCGTCCACCTAAATAGTAAACGGCATTTAGAAACATGACACACTTCAAGTGTGTCATTTTAATGTAAATTTTAATGTAAATTTCAAGTAAATGTTGATTCATTTAATGAATTAACATTACGTACCGTACACATACTGTACGTTGAAATAGCTTATCGCCGAAAATCTTGGGCAAGCTATCAACGAGATGAGTACAAATTAGGCTCTAAGAAACTATCACGTCTTCAATAAGTCAGCATCTATCAAATCTTCGTGTACATGCAATGCATTGCAAGGTCCGTGCGAAATACATTTAGTATTGTCATCTCTACGACTGAATGCACGACATGAAATTTTAATATGGAAAGGTCTCTCTCTAAACCAATGAGCCCTTCAGTATACGAAAAAATTCAATCCACAAGTTCGTTAACCTAAGTTTGACACTTCATCATTGCACGACTCATTTACTTCGTGTTATTCGAATCTCACCTGTTCAGGTTCAGCGGGGGTGTCAGTGGTGGTCTTCGTTTCAGCTGCTTCCTGTTAGTGGTGTTCGAAAAAATTAGGAACTCGAGAATGGGTACGTCATTGATTTCGCATATAAATATAATCACTAACTTCTGATAGAGTAGCCAAGCATGCCAAGCGAAGAACCAAAAAGCCCCACAGAAATCAGATCAACATGAAATTTAAACGTCAATAGAGGAAGAATAATGTAGAGAAGTAACTGACCAATGCATCTGCGGGGAGGAAAGAATCGATGGCGGGTGCAACTTCGGGGACGGAGGCCACTTCGACGACGGGTGCAACTTCGGGAACGGAGGCCACTTCGACGACGGGTGCAACTTCGGGGACGGAGGCCGCTTCGACGACGGGTGCAACTTCGGGGACGGAGGCCGCTTCGACGACGGGTGCAACTTCGGGGACGGAGGCCGCTTCGACGACGGGTGAACTGAGACCGCTTCGACAACGGGTGCAACTTCGGGGACTGACGTCACTTGGACAACGGGGGCAACTTCAGGGACGGAGGTCGCTTCTATTACAGGCGTTACTTCGGGTAGGGGTGAAGATTCAATGACGCAAGTTCTTTCCGATTCCTCATGTTTCGATACGACGCAAGCACCACTTTCTAACGAAGTCTGCTCTAGATGTTCAGCCACGGTTCCATTCTGCAAAAGTCAAAGCCTTGTACTGCCTTCCGCAAAACGTAGGCAACGACGTGTTAGTAACGAAGTCACACCAACACAATTTCTGAAATGTTGAACGAAAGCCACATGTACAGCCAGCAAAATAAAACCGAAAATAAGCTACGGAAGAATTCGGCGAACGAAGTTTCTGCTTCAGATCTGTTCGTAGGCACTCGAAGTATGATCGTCGAGTCACGTTCACGCTTCTTCGGTCGAGTCGAGATGGCAATGGAGTATTTACAGGCGAGGTTGTTTATAACCTGGCTCACTCAACGGGCCGGAAATGAATACGCATGCAAGTTATTGGAAAAATAAATGAAAAGCAGGTAAACTGATAACCCAGGGACAGCAAGAGGATTAGTGCAAAGAAAAGCATGCAGAAGCAGAAGTAAATTATAAATGCATGACGAAATAAAGGCGGTTTTACGGCCAAGTCAGTTATAAAACAAATTCTAACCTATTGCATAATAAAATAGAACACCGAGTTGGGAAAATCTTCCAAGAGCTCGAACACGAGAATGTCAATTGCCACTCAATACTTAAATATTTCATTGACACGCACAGGTGAATAGTGCCAAACCATAATCGGTAAAAAAGCGCATACCTCCTTTGCGGGCTCTGGCGAGGCAGGTGTCTCCGTTTGAGAATTCTCCACATCGGCCTTTTCGGTGGCGACTTCGACCTTCTCTTCATCGTGTTTTGGTTCTTCGCTTTTGGCCTGAAAGAAAAGGTCAATATGTAATGATAAATTAAAGAAATCAAGCGCAAACACGATAATAAAAGTTTACACCTGGAAAGTCAAGCAGGTGCACATTTGCACCCAGTTCAAGCAAGGCCAAAAATTTAACCTCATTACGGTCACACCGACCATAAGGTCGTATTAATATTAGCTTGAGCAAGAATATGCAAGTAACAATTTCATCCACAGTTGCGATAAAAGCTCCTGGGTGTAACCTTTGAAGCTATACTTGACAATTTATAACCCAGAAATAACTTGCAAGATAATCAATGAAGGGATCCTTATCATGTACAAACGAGTTATCGAGAGACCTTATCGGCCATCAAATTTAAATAACCAAAATTGCACATTCTGAATATACACATTACAAGTGGAACCTGAAATTAATTCTCATTAAACAGTAAATAAAAAAGCATTTCCAGCACGTAGAAAAGGCGATTTCTAGCACAGCTCAACTGGAGAAAATTTTCGTGTATAGTTAATTCTAAGTTTCTTTCGAGTTGAAGGCAAATTAGGTTCTCGACAAGGTCACAATAGATCAATTACATTAAAATCTTCACATTCAGACTAGTCAGAGAACTTATGGGTATTAGACGTGTTGAGCGAGTCCCGCCTCGTCTTTCCAAATAACCTGAGGAATTGACTAACTAGGAATGTTCGTACAACCCATCACGCGAATCATCATATCGGGATTTTACTTGGCAAATCTAAGGCGCCAAAGTGTCGTGAAAATGAGTGAAGAAAGTATTCCTTGTATTAATGTAACAATGGACCTGCGTGCAAGGTGAGATGATGGCAGCCATGTCTGCTGAGGCAACAAGACAAGAGACTAGAGAGGTTAGACTTCTAGCACGCTCAGCGAGTGAATGGTTAAGGCGGAAGAGTTTTGCCCCCTGCCAGCGAGTCACGCTTAAATAGCTTTACCCAATGTAACCCACCGGTACCTGCGTACGCAGCGGAAACTCCAACCGATTCGCCTTGGCAAAACCGAGTGCATCAAGCATTGAAACCCAGCTGATATCAATGGAGCAAAAGCCGTGTCGCAAATGTGCACGTCTCATTGGAATAGTATAGACTTGAAAATGAGTCGAACTTATGACCCTAATGAATGACTTCTCAAATCCGCTCAATGGAAGTCATTTATGTTCAGCAATCAAGAATTCACGGTTAACAGAAGCTCTCCGGCTGTTCAATATTGATCGATTTTCAAATTTGATTGTAGATTTCGACGAATGGAGTTAGGACTCGGGGAGCTACGGAAGGAACGGCAGAAGCAGTTTACCAGAAGCCCAGCAGGTCTGCCGTAAAGCGCTTCCACTAATAAGCAAGCACGTCTAAGCGAGAATACAGTACACAGATTCCCTCTCGCCTAAAACCCCTGCACGTAAACGCACGGGGAAACTCAACTAAACAAAGTAAAACGAGGAGGCGTAGCAGCCGACAACATTTCATCAATCCAGTCCAATTCGTGCCATAATCAAGCAGGCATTCTATTTCGATTCATATAAATTTCGGTGATCGAAATTAGATATGATAAGTTTTGTAAATCTCAACTGTCAACTGAAACTTTAGCTTGACGCTGGCATCTCTCAGTCGATTCAATCAAGTGGACAAGCGTCATTTCTGATACAAAAGCAAGTAATAGAAATCATCAACAGTGAATGAGAAATCGTCAACAACAGTGGTTCAGAAATGAGAGTGGCTAGAGAGAAACGTTCTGCACAGGGAATAATTGTTATATTGAAGGATACACCGTGTCGGAACTCCAACTCCAATATCAAGACCTTGCTATTTAAATAAATGCAACAAAAGTTCCTTCGAAGCAAGACCTTCCTTGCGCAACTTGTATCCCGAATTGAAAGCAGTAATTGTTGAGGATCGGTTTGATTTCACTTATTGGCTCTCAGTAAAATTTATTAGTGCCTTGCATCGCATCACATGCTTGAAGTTATAAGTCATGTTGGTCTGAGTGACGTAATAGTTGGCCTCGCAACCGGTACGTGGTCTAATCAACTCTTGAAATATCAGTTGAAGATTCGCCTCCAACACAACTGGTACATAAAATTATCAATAACAAAGCCCTCTTACTAATCGGGAATGGTAAATTGACAAGACATGCAAGCATCATAACCAAGAATGCACAAAGTAATTGAGGAATTTCAACGATCGCGAAGACAGCCAAGATTAATCTCCACATCGACAAAACAATTGAACTGTCATCCGTATCATTCGAATGAAAGGCCCGGTAAATCGAGTTACAGTCTTCAGACACAGTTCAACTTGTCCACATCTCTCAATTGTAAATGGGGCAAGTGCATAAAACTAACTCCAGCTCAACTCGAGTTGGCGAGAAAGTTTCCCCATCTATCAAATGGAGGTAGAAGAATTTTTCGCTAATTTTTGTTCAGATCAAATGACTAATTTTCATACAGAACGATTCTCAACTTCAACTATAAACATCCAATTCAAATGTTTCTGTTCGCTCATCAGAGTCAACTACATTACTGCAATACTAATCAAGATGACAATTCCATTCAATGTAGCCGAATTCCATTGCAGTTTTTAGGTCGAATTGACAAGTCTCTGATCAAAACCATCGCTACCAAGATGCAACTAATTAAATATTTGGACGGGATCCAAGGGCGTGGGTCAGTTAAACCGTTAAATACGAGTGCACCGATGCCTGGCAAGAAACCATTACGCCAAACCTAGGCGGGACCAAAAGTCTGCTGCTCCAACGTACGAGTATTTTAAAAGATATCGATTCCAATGAACTCAACATCGCACTGAGGAACTTTGAGAACAGAAATTTACTCGCTCAAGTTAGGCTGTGCGGCCATAAGCTCTTCAGGACAATTGAGTAAATTCTTTTCGGATGCGAGTCAAGTCTAGCAAGATGACGCAAGGTAGTTATAATTCACGAGTGTCTGAAATGCGCGATGGCTATCTTCATTCTGCTCTTCATTTTTACCGAAACCTCGCCGAGCTTGAGACGATTAGCCCACCGTTAATTGAGCAATGAAATCCAATATTAGAAATCATCGATGGTGCCAGTAAGTAGCAATGAGAACGCTCAAACCGGCAGATGTGAAACGCAGTTGGGCGCAACTTCTGCCGAAACGATCATCTCTCGAATCCTATTCATAGCTGCGTATATCTTGGGTGGCGCCAGCAAGGTGACGTGCATTGCGCACAAGGTAGGCGAATGCATTTGCGCCAACAAGCTCGGCGAAAAAAAACTATATTAGTGCCAAAGCGAAGTTCTAAGCGGTGACCATAAGATCAGCAAAAAAGAACTAGGTCACTGAGTACCTACGTGTATAACGCAGCTAGTTGCGGTTCATAATGCAAAGTGACCGCTGAAATCGCTACCATTACAAATCACATCCTGCAAGTTCGAACAGTCAATACAGTGGAGGGGAGGGAGTTTAAAAGTTAATCGGGCTTCCGGCTAAATTACGTTCCCAGTTGATAAGACATGCTTACATCAAACGATTACATAGACTGCACGAGAACGGGCTTACATGTACCGAGGTCTCGCCAACATGGCACTTGCAAGATGAGCTGAGCTTGCAGGAGCCATCCCACGCACGCATTGATACTGCTTTATTGAACGTTGGTTGGGTTGAGCAACTGAATACCGTACGTATGTACATTCGTACCATCAATGATTACTCAATCAATTACTCAATCAATGATTACTCAATATCTGTTATAACATGCACGAATTCAAAGAACTTGTTTCAGGCGCTATCTAATTTTACTAGTTGAAACCATTGACATTTATCGTCCGATGAAGTCGGCAAGCCAAAATAGCTACCGATATAGATTATCCTCCGACTAGTAACCGTTCACCATAAATGCATCGCTTAAATCGTGGAATTTTCCGCGCACAAAAATTTAGCAAGTAAATGAAATTTCTAATACTTTCGAAGATGCAGGTATTCGGAAATTTTGAAATTTTTTCGCCGCATCAACAATTCTCTGGTATTACAGTGAATGAAATCAAGATTATCAATTCATGACAGAACTAAATATTGTGCTAAATTATACAGATTCGAAAAATTTACAATTGCAAGACGAGTTGCATCTCCCGAGAACATCACGAGCCGTATACGATGAAAAAAGTACGACTCGCTACCATCAACTTGGCCGGTGTATCTACAAATGCTTCAGTAAAATTCATTCAGAGCAAAGATAACTAAAGACAATTTGTCAATTTTGCATCGGCTGGTGACGCTGAGATCCCGGAGAAAAGCAGGAAATCCATCTTCAGATAAATTTCGTCTTCAACTACAAGAGGGCAACAACAATTCAGTTCTCAATGCTAACGTCGGAACTACCACCCCCCGATTCATAATACGAATATCAAGTTTAAGTTCTCCGGGCAGTCTTCAAATAATCTTCCAGGCAATTTTGAGCACATGCTGAATTCAGTGGCCAACTTTTGCACAAGGAAATGGTCATGACGAACATTGGCAGTTTGGCACATATCCGAGTGTTCTAATCAAAACAGGTTAATGCATAATTAATTCCGCCTGCGTTAGCGTGATAAATTCTTAGCTCACGGTTTTCGACCTTTCAATTCAATACAAATCGTATATGCGACGTTGCGAGATGGAGGCTAACTGTTCTCCATTATTAGAGTCCGTCAGGGCGCCGGTGAAATTCTATTTTCGGTACGATCGAGGCAGAACCAACAGCGGCATAACCACGAGTTTCCGTTGCGCACGCTATCGAAGTTTTCAGGAGTTCTTCAATGTCGGGTGTATCTATGATTTAAATTGTCAAATTACAGCAAGTCTAATTGCTTTGAGAGAGAATAAATACTACAAGCGAATCGCGTTGGTTGGTCAATTTACCCAACTCGAATGTCCTCATTAAATCGTTAAGTAGAGATGTCAAAAATTTACGTCAAACCAGAGTTCGTTTTCAGTAGCTATATATAACTTCTTTAGCGGAAGTTTGTTTCATGCCAA